GTGAAACCCCGTCTCTACTACAAATGCAAAAAAAAATTAGCCGGGCGTGGTGGCGGGCATCTGTAATCCCAGCTAGTCGGGAGGCTGCGGCAGAAGAATGGCGTGAGCCTGGGAGGCGGAGCTTGCAGTGAGCTAAGATCGCGCCACTGCACTCCAGCCTGGGTGATAGAGCGAGACTTCGTCTCAAAAAAAAAAAAAAGGCAGTACAATTAAATATTGAGGAGAATAGATGACAAGATTGGTAATTTCATTTGAGAACTGGAAACTATTTTTTAAAAAACAAAATTGTAGAACTGAACATTATGATAGATGAAATTAAAAACTCAGGCTGGGCATGGTGGCTCACACCTGTAATCCCAGTGCTTTAGGAGGCAGAGGCAGGAGGATTACTTGAGGCCAGAAGTTCGAGAGCAGCCTGGGCAACACAGCAAAATCCCGTCTCTACAAAAAATTTAAAAATTGGCCAGGCATGGTGGCACCTGCCTATCGTCCTAGCTACTTGGGAGTCTTAGGTCCCAGGAGTTTAAGGCTGCAGTGACCTGTGATTGTGCCCACTCCAGCCTGGGCAACAGAGCAAGACCCTACCTCTTAAAAAAAAAAAAAAGTTAGAAACTGGATTGACTTTTAAACGAAACATAGGGTTAACAAAAAAACTCAATTGATAGGATTAAACACAAATGAAGACAAGATTAATGGAGAAGACTAGTCAGTAGAAAATATCCAGACTGAATCACAAAGAGCCAAAAGAATGGAAAAATACCAAGAAGTGTCTTAGAGATATAGTGAAAAGGTCTAATACTTATCATTAGAGTCCTGAACAAGATGAGAGAAGAGGGTGAATGCCGTGATGAAAGATATCATGTCACAGATTCAAGATGTGCTGTAAACAAGCACAAGCAGGAAAAATACTTTAAAAGCTACAGCTAGGCACATCAGAATATAACTGCTAAAACTCATAGAAAATGTTAAGAGCAACAATGGGGCTGACAGATGACTTCTCAACAGAAACAATAGAAACCAAAGACATTTTCAAAAGGTGAAAAGAAAATAACTGCACTAACCTAGAATTCCTTACTTACCAAAAATATCCTCCAAAAACAAAAACAAAATACAGACTTCTCAGCAAACAAAAATTGAATTCATCACAAGATCCGTACTGAAAGGAAAACACTAAAGGTATTTCTAAATATACCATACTAAATATGATACTATATTGAAGAAAAATTCTAAAGTTAGTTCCAGGAGAAGAAGGATCCAAAATAGATGCACAGAAATACAGAAAGGAACGAAGGGTAATAAAAAAGAAATAACAAATAAAGAGTAATAAAAAGTAACGTGAATAAATCTAAATGAATAATGACTATAGAAAGCATTAATAAGAATGTCTGTTGTGGCTTAAAATACAGAGAAAACTGAAATCCATGACAAGACTACCACAACAGGTAGAAAGGTGAAAGAACTGTATAGTTGTTGGGGCCAGGCCTGGTAGCTCTCACCTGTAATCCCAGCACTTTGGGAGGCTGAGGCAGGTGGATCACTTGAGATCAGGAGATCGAGACCAGCCTGGACAATATGGTGAAACTCTGTCTCTACTAAAAATACAAAAATTGTCAGGGTGTGGTGGTGCACACTTGTAATTCCAGCTACTCAGGAGGCGGAGGCGGGAGAATCGCTTGAAGCTGGGAGGCAGGAGGTTGCAGTGAGCCAAGATTGTGCCACTGCACTCTAGCCTGGGTCACAGAGGGAGACTCTGTCTCAAAAAAAAAAAAAAAAAAAAGAATTGTGTAGTTGCTGGGTTGTCCAGAAAATGGTAGAAGTGACCACTTATAATACACTTCAGTTAGTCAAGGATGCTTGTTAAATCTAGGATAAGAACTAAAAGAAAAGTATACTTCATATGCTAATAAAGGAGAAATTACCCAGAACAAACAACCTTAATCCAAAAGAAGGAAAAAAGACAGAAAAAAGAAAAGAACACAGTAAGAGAAAACCAATAGAAAGACTTATTAGTAAGATGGTACATTCAAACCCAAGTCTATCAATAAACACATTAGACATAGTGTAGTAAATACTCTGAATTTAAAAAAATCTTAATTTCAAAAAAGCAAATCTTACATGCCTACAAGGGTGAAACCTTAAATGTAAGAATGTGGAGGTCAAAAGTAAAAGGATGAACAAAGATATACTATGCAATGACTATTCAAAAGAAAGCTAATTTCCTCTCAGTAAGCAAGGAATAGAGAGGAAACTTTCTCAACTTGTTAAAGAATATCTCATTTGGGCATGGTGGCTCAGGCCTGAAATCTCAACACTCTGGAAGGCTGAGGTGGGAGGATCAACTCCAGGAGTTCAAGACCAGCCTAGGCAACAAAATGAGACCCCATCTCTACAAAAAACTAAAAAAATTTGGCTGGATGTGGTGGCCCAGGCCAGGCACGATGGCTCACGCCTGTAATCTCAGCACTTTGGGAGGCCAAGGTTGGTGGATCACCTGAACTAACGAGTTCAAGACCAAACTGAGCAACACTAACATGACAGAACCCTGTCTCTACCAAAAATACTAAAATTAGCCAGGCATGCAATGCATGCCTGCGGTCCCAGCTACCCAGGAGGCTGAGGTGAGAGGATCACTTGAGCCTGGGAGGCAGAGGTTGCAGTGAGCCAAGATCCCACCACTCCACTCCAACCTGGGTGACAGAGTGAGATTCCATTTCAAAAAAAAAAACAATTGGCCAGGTATGGTATAGACCCAGCTACTCAGGAGGATTGCTTGAGCGCCAGAGATCAAGACTGTAGTAAGCTGTGATCGTGCTACTGCACTCCAGCCTCCAGCCTGGGTGACAGAGTGAGACCCTGTCTCAAAACAAAACAAAACAAAACAAAAAAACTACTAGGGCTGGGCATGGTGGCTCATGCCTGTAATCCCCAGCACTTTGGGAGGCCGAGGTGGGCAGATCACAGGGTCAAGTGATCAAGACCATCCTGGCCAACATGGTGAAACCTGATCTCTACTAAAAACACAAAACAACTAGCTGGGTGTGGTGGCACACGCCTGTAGTCCTAGCTACTGGGAGGCTGAGGCAGAAGAATTGCTTGAACCCAGGAAGTAGAGGTTGCAGTGAGGCGAGATCGGGCCATTGCACTCCAGCCTGGTGATGGAGCAAGACTCTGTCTCAAAAACAAAACAAAACAAAACAAAAAAACCTACCAAAAAGTCCGGAGCTAACATTATATTTAATAGTGAACGCCAGGCATGGTGGCTCACGCCAGTAATCCCAGCACTTTGGGAGCCCAAGGAGGGCAGATCACCTGAGGTCAGGAGTTTGAGACGAAGCTGGCCAATGTGAAGAAACCCTGTCTCTACCAAAGAAAAAAAAAAAAGTATAAAAATTAGTCGGGTATGGTGGTGCAGATCTATAATCCCAGCTACTCGGGAGGCTGAGGCAGGAAAATTGCTTGAACCCGAGAGATGGAGGTTCCAGTGAGCTGAGATCACGCCACTGTACTCCAGCCTGGGCAACAGAGCAAGACTCTGTCTCAAAAAAAAAAAAAAAAAAAATAGTGAGACACTAGAAACTCCCACTACAATCATAAACAAGGCAAGAATGTTCCCTCTTACCACTACTCTTCGACATCATACTGGAAGTCCAAGCCAATGAAATAGGACAAGAAAAGGAAATAAAAAGTATGCAGATATACAGATGAGGAAGGAAGAAATAAACTGTCTTTGTTTACAGGTTCCGAGATGATTATCTCATCAACAAAAGAATCAACAAAGAAACTCCTAAAACTAATGAGAGATTATAGCAAGGTTGCAGGATACAATGTGAATAGATAAAAGTCAATCACTTTCCCATATATTAGCAATGAACAAATGAAATTTGAAACTAAATATACAATACTATTTTTATTAGCACCCCAAAAAATAAGATATTTAGGTATAAATCTTATAAATCTAACAAAATATGTACAAGATCTGTAAGAAAAATTACCAAAAAAAAAAAAACTGTAGGAAAAGGGAAAAACCTCTACAAAACTGATAAAAGAAATCAAAGAACAGCTAAATAAATGAAGATAGATTCTATGTTTGTAGACAGAAATCAATATGGTGAAAATGTCAGTTCTTGCAACTTGATCTATGGATTTGATGCCATCCCAATCAAAATAAACAGTGAGTTGTTTTGTGGATATTGACAAACTGATTCTAAAGTTTACATGGAAAGGCATAAGACACACAATAGCCAAATCAACATTGAGAGAGAAGAACAAAGTTGGAGGACTCACAATATCCAATTTCAAGACTTACTATAAAGCTACAGTAATCATGACAGTGTGTTTTTGGGAAAGAACAGACACATAGATCAATGGAACAAATAGAGAGCCCAGAAATAGACCCACATAAGTATAGTCAACTGATCCTTGGGAAAAAAAAAAAGCAAAGGCAATACAATGGAGCAAAGAGAGTCTTTTCAACAAATGGTGCTGGAACAATATGCAAAAACTTAATCCAGATAGAGACCTTACATCCTTCAGAAAAACTAACTTAAAATGAATTACAGACCTAAATGTAAAAACACTCAACTATAAGATAACATAGGATAACATAAACTAGAAGCCAACAGCAGCCAGCAGCTGCAGAAGAAACGTCCCCCACTGACTGAGCCCTTACTGTGGACCAGGCTCTGTGCTTCACATCAATCACTTCCATTAACCCCCCTTATTATCACACTCCCCCCTTAATAGATGAGGAAATTAGGTACAGGAAGTACAGAAAGAGTGAGTATCTGGCCCAAAATCAACGGTTTGCTCTTTATCTCCTTGCTATGTTATCTCTGGATGCTGAATTCCAGAGATTTCACTAAAATCTTTATTGACATAAATATACCCCATGGCACTGAAATAGGTGAGGTCTGAGGCAGACTGAATAGCCTTAACTGTTAATGACCTGCTACATCAACAAAAACATACATCAGGTATCTACAATATACATGACAAAAAAATTTTTAAGCAACAATTTATTGAGTTTTCACTCAAGTTTAGAATTCAAAGTTGCAAGCACTTGACACTTTTTTACATCATTATTTAATCCTTACTACAACAACCTGCCAAGTACATGCTCTCATCCCCATCCTACAGATGAGGAATGAGATTCAATGAGAGGAAGAACATTGTTCTTAAGTGGAAGAACTTGAATTAGAATAAATGGAACTCTAGAATCCATGCTCCACTCTCACTCGAAGACATCGCACTGCCTCCACGATGGCCACAACTATCACTAACACAGAGCCTTAAGATTTAGGAGCTGGCTGGGCATGGTAGTTCACACCTGTAATCCCAGCACCATGGGAGGCCAAGGCAGGAGGATCACTTGAGGCCAGGAGTTCAAGACTAGGCTGGGCAACAAGACCCTATCTCTCTGAAAAAATTACATTTAAAAAAAAATAAATAAAAATTAAATAAAATTTAAAAACTGATGAGCATTCTTGTGTATAGTATGCGATCTTCACAGCAACCCTGTAAAGTAGGTGAGACAGAGATCATAGGGTTTTATAAGTGAGGAAACTGAGGCACAGATGCAGAGAAATGTACATTGTGGGCATACCCTGAAAGCCCTACCCACTAGGTGAGACCATCATCCATTCTAAAGAAAGGAAAAGGCAGGAAAAGAAACACACATCAAAGGTTCTTAAGTAGACCTTAAAATTGAAAAACTGCTGCTTTGTCATTTACAAACACATTTTTATTCTCTGTTATTTACTTACCAGGATTCTAGGACTGAATGAGAAATACAGGCTTCTTTCTATTGGTCATATTCACAGCCAACATTTCCTCTGTGCCAGGTCAGAAAGACAGTGGTCACCTCCGTGAATAATTTCCTTGAGCAAAGCTGCTCTCAGCCTTGACTAAAGCAGCCTTTCCAGGGGCTGGTCTATACCCATGGTCTCTCTTCTCTGGCACACAGAAAGTGAATGGTCAGACTCATCTCTTCAATGGTGAGCCACGTGCTTATTACATTTCTTGTTCTCCAGATCCACTTTATTAAAAAGTGAAATGACAATCAGAACGGTTAAGTGACTTAGCCAAGGTCACACAACTCGGAAGCAGCAGATCAGGAAGAAAAGTCCAGGTCTGCTAGGTAGGCCAGTCTTCTGTCCAAGGGCATCCTAGGCCCAGGTCATCTTAGCCATGTGGGGTTGCCAGATGTTTCTGCATCTGGATAGACAGGTCAAGAGCTACGAAGGGGCAGAATAAGCTAGAAATTCCCAGAACTTTGGACCTAGAAGGGCCCTTAAAAATCATCCAGGCCGGTTGTGGTGCCTCACATCTGTAATCCCAGCACTTTGGGAGGCCGAGGCAGGTGGATCACCTGAGGTCAGGAGTTCAAGACCAGCCTGGTTAACATGGCAAAACCCCATCTCTACTAAAAATACCAAAAAAAGTATCCAGGCGTAGTGGTGCACACCTGTAGTCCCAGCTACTTAGGAGGCTGAGGCATGGGAATCACTTGAACCCAGGCGACAGAGTTTGCAGTGAGCCAAGATCGTGCCACTGCACTCCAGCCTGGGTGATGGTGCAAGATTCCATCTCAATTAAAAAGAAAAAAAAAAAAACATCCAATCCACCCATTATATAGATGGGCAAACTGAGGACCAGACAAAGAAAGCAACTTGCCAAAAATTACACAGCTTGAACTGGCAGATCAGGTCCAGAACCCAGGTCCATAGTAATGTCATCATTCAAGTGAGTTTGGACAGCAATCTGCAAAAGCTGCTGTGAGGATGGCAAAGCAATCAATCTACCGGACTTTTTTTTTTTCCTTAGCGGTCCAGGTCATGCACAAAAAGTACAAGGTGTAGTCTCTGTCCTTAAGGAGTTTACAGTCTAGTTAGAAAAACTGGCATATACACAGGAAAACAAAATCAATACTATAAAACATCAGAACAGGCAACAGCTGTATCAAGAATTTAAAGGAGGCAGAGAGCAGCAGGGTTGGCTGTGTGGGAAGGCTTCCTAAAGAAGGGCTTAAGAAAGCTGGACTTTGAAGCATGAATAGGAGTCCAACAAATGGAAAGGAATAGGTATGTCAGTCCAGGAAAGAGCTTCAACCCATAAAGGGGTTTTGTGGGAGATGAAGCCAAAATCGCAGATGAAGGCTAGGTCTTGGGGGCTGGGGATCCTTCAGATGCCAGGTCAGGGCATTTGGACTTGGGTCGATGAAACAATAGGTCTTCAAACTTGTTTCAGGAGCAGATCACTTGGAAGCCTCTGAGCTCTTCACAGAATTCCACAAGTGGCTGATCACACTTCATTCCAGGACAGTGTTTGTGTCGGGAAACATAACCAGTGTTCTACATCTGTAATATAAAACCACAGCCACAAGCATGCATGCCTGTGAACAAAGTAAGTCCTCAAGTCAAACAGGATCAATCTTTCTCAAATATTCCTGTCAACAGTTATCTGCCCTTGATCTCTTTCTTCTGTGTCTTCTGTAGCCTGTGTACTGGTAGACAACATGTACACGTACCACTGCTTTTCACAAAATATGGGGGAGAAAAACATAAAAAATTGAGAGAATTCTGAAAACATTTTTTCTTTATATTGGAAAAAGGCAGTCTGATAATTTTAGGGGTTCAAGGCAACGCCACATAGAACAGTATCCTCTCTGAGCCTCAGTTTCCCCATCTGGCATGAAGGGGTTGGAAATGGAAACATCTGAGGCCAAGTTTTGGACACATAATTTGCCCTGTCTGGTCATCTTCATGCCTCCTGGGCTCTCTGGACAATGAAAGTGATAGGGGTCCAGTCCTTCCATACGTGTCCACAGTTCTAAGCAGCAGAAAGAGTAGCTTTGGTGGGACTAGCTCTGTAACCATCAGCTCCTGCAAAGGCCAGGGGTTCAGCATGAGATGTCAAACAGCATGAGATTTGTGTGCTGGGCCCTGGAATGAGCACAACAACCCAGTGGCTGACATCACGAGCCCCTTTTGGAGTGTCCCTAGATGCTTCTCTCCTCACCTGGGGCTCCCCATTGGCCATCTTGGGCTCCTGAAGCCTTCCCGACTGCTCAGTCTTGGAGGAACATGAGTACCTTCATCCCTAGGTCACCTGGCCAGGAACGGGCAGCACCCTGTGCCCAGGACGTAGGCTTCTATGAGCTGGCAGGGGCATGGAATTCTCGGAGAGTTCGTGTGTCGTGTCCCCATTGCCTGAGGGAGCTGGGAGGTCACTAGAAGCCGGATGTAGTAGCCGCCAAACACTGCCAGCAGCTGGCGGGCCATTTCCTAGAAGAGGCAGGGAAGCAGATTGAATACCACAGGGGAGCCCCTTGAGGAAAAAAGGCTTAGGCACCAGGGGAAGGCCACACTGCTTTCTTGCCCCTGGACCCAGGAGTGATGCTCACTAGGAAGAACCAGGCCAGGTCAGCACCTGGGACTCTCAGAAGATGTCAGCCTGGTCCAGAAGCCCAGCTCTGCAATCCATGGCCTGTGGGGCTCCTGCAGCTTCAGTGTCCTCATTGCCAAGGTGGGTAACTAATTACTGAATGGCAATAATAATACGCACAAAAAAAATACGCAACCTCGAAGCCCTAGAGAAATTATCTAATTTCTAATTACCTAATATTTTAAGCCTAGTTGGCCAGGCATGGTTGTTCACACCTGTAATCCCAGCACTTTGGGAGGCCGAGGTAAGAAGATCACTTGAGGTCAGGAGTTTGAGACCAGCCTGGGCAACAGAGCAAGACTCTGTCTCTACAAAAATAAAATTAAAATTAAAAATATATTTCAAAAGCATAAAAAGAAAGTAAACCTAGCCAGCCACAAATACATTCTTTTTCCACTTTCAAATGTCTATGAGTCTGTCAAGTACGTGAGATCAAAGTGACTCACTTTGAAGAAAATTACTAGTTAAATGTGGAGGTGGGGAGAGGAATATTCCCATTACAGCAGAATTCTTTAATTCATATGAGGTACCTTGTAGATTTGTTTACACAAGTACTCCTAACATATTAAAAGAAACTGCTTACATTTAAATATGATCACTGACAGTAAAAGAAAAAAAAGAAAGAAAAACATAAAAAAGGGAAAAAAAGAGATTGATTACCAAAATTAGGTTTATCACAAAAGGACAAGTACTGTATGATTCCACTAATACGAGGCACCTCGTATTAGTAATCAGTTCACAGGGAAAGAAAATAAAATGGTGGTTTCTAGGGGTTGAGGGGAGGGAGGAAGAAGGAAAGGGGAAGTTAGTGTTTAAAGGGCACAGAGCTTCAATTTGGGAAGATGAAAATATTCTGCAGATGGCTGATGGTGATGGTTGCATAACAATGTAAATGTACCTGATGCTGCTGAACTTAAAACGGTTAAGATGGTAAATTTTATATTATGTATATTTGCCACAATAAAAAATTTTAAGTAAAAAAGAATTTAAAAATTGCATTTAATGTACTTTTTTTTCTTTTTTAAAGACACAGTACAGCCGGGTACAGTGGCTCATGCCTGTAATCCCAGCATTTTGAGAGGCCAAGGCGGGCAGATCACTTGAGGTCAGGAGTTCGAGACCAGCCTGGTCAACATGGTGAAACCCTATCTCTACTAAAAATACAAAAACAATTTAGCCGGGCATGCTGACACATGCCTGTAATACCAGCTACTTGGGAGGTTGAGGCAGGAGAATCACTTGAACCCAGAAGGCAGAGGTTACAGTGAGCCAAGATCGCGCCATTGCACTCCAGCCTGTGCAAAAAGAGCAAAACTCCGTTTCAAAAAAAAAAAGACATAGGATCTTACTATGTTGCTCAGGCTGGTCTTGAACTCCTGGGCTCCTGCCTTGGCCTCCCTACAGTGTTGGGATTACAGGTGTGAGCCACTGTGCTAGGCCTTACTGCACATTCTTATTAACACAGTTGGTCTGTAAAGATCCATTCACTGGTATAGAAAATGGGATCTCAGGGGAAATGCTTAAATTCCTTAAGCATAGTGTTGAAGCTCTTTCACAATACTTGTGTCCACTCTGAATGTAATGAAATAAGGTGTGGGTTACACTAGGTATGTCTGTAGAGTTAGTAATTAAGAATAGGCTTTAAAGTCAAAAAGGCCAAGAGGGAATTTCAACTCAGCCACTCTATGACTAACCCAGAGCAGTCACTTCACATTATTGAGCCCATTTCTTCATTGGTAGAATAAGGAAAAGAGCAGCACTGACCCCTGTAAGTTAGAGTGAGGATTAAAGAGACTAATAGAGGCCGGGTGCATTGGCTCACACATGTAATCCCAGCACTTTGGGAGGCCAAGGCAGGTGCATCACCCGGGGTCAAGAGTTCGAGAACAGCCTGGCCAACATGGTAAAATGCCATGTCTACTAAAAATACAAAAATTAGCCGGCCGTCGTGGCAGACGTCTGTAATCCTAGCTACTCAGGAGGCGGAAGCAATAGGATCGCTTCAACCCGGGAGGTGGAGTTTGCAGTGAGCCGAGATCACACCACTTCACTCTAGCCTGGGCAGAAGAGTGAAACTCCGTCTCGGGAAAAAAAAAAAAAAAAGGAGAGACTAATAGACAGAAAGCATTGAGCCCAGTGCCTAGTGCTCCACAAATGGCATCAATATCTTTCTGTCATTATCACTCAAAAAAGCAGAAACCCCACATGGTTCATAAGATTAGCTTTTGTTTCAAGTTATCCTTTGTGCTAGAAAATATAAAACACTCCAAATAGTTTACCACTCACCAGCTCAGATCGGTCTTCTCGCCAATTTACTCTAAAATCAATAATGTAAGAAGCAAAGAACCATAGCAAGAACATTGGCCTACTTAGAATCAGCAGGGCTGGCTTCTGCCCTGGGCTTACTGCACTCTCCCTTTCTGGCAACCTTGGGCAAGTCAGCTGACCTCCCGGAACCTTATTTCACCCATCAAGGAAGAAGGGAAAATAATTCATACCTCGAAGAGTATGCTAATGAATTTTATGCATGAGAAAAATCCGTAAAAATGTAAGAGGTCATTATCACGGTCTTTCCATCTTCTACAGACCCTGGGTTCCTACTGAAATGTGACCATCTGGCACAGGTTGAGACTTGGGCATCGATTATATTTTTCCTAACTAAATTATAAGGGCAGCTACTTTAAAAACATGTGCACACACACTTGATACTCATGATAGGAAATTGTATTACTATTAGTTGGAATGAATCTGAGAATAATCATTTAAAAGACCCATATTTAATGGGCTATTGCACAAAAACCCACAGATGCATGTCACAAGAAAGTACATAACCTTATCAATCTCTTCTCTTTAAAAAAAAAAAAAAATCAATAGGATAAAGTGAAGAGGTTAATACATTTATCATTTCTCTCTTTTTTTTTTTTTTTTTTAATATTTTGGCAGGGCACGGCGGCTCACACCTGTGATCCTAACACTTTCGGAGGCCGAAGCGGATGGATCACTTGAGCTCAGGAGTTCAAGACGAGCCTTGGCAACATGGTAAAACCCCATCTCTAAATAAAAATTTAAAAATGTATATAAAAAGATAAAAGATTTTAATAGAGGCCAGGCATGGTGGCTCACACCTGTAATCCCAGCACTTTGTTCAAGTGAGCCACCGCACCACCCTGTCACTTTCTTTTTTAAATAGTGCTACTTGCAGGCTTCCTACTCCCCACCAGTACAAAAAAGAAAGTCTGGGCTGGTTTGGACCTTGAATTCCCAAACCTCTTGGCTAAAAAGATATAAGTGCTCTTCTGAAGTTTCAAATGTCACCTGAGGTCACCATCACTGCTTGTCTCCCCGACAGTGGGTCTGTCCTCATGATGAGAAGAAGGTAGCACAAGCTGCAAACCACATTTTCAGATTTCTGGTCTGCCAGTGCTGAGCCATAGCCAAGAGGCAGCGTGGATGGCAGGACCCAAGGGAACTCTGGGGCGGGAGGAATTGGAATTCAACAGAAATGCAAAGAAGTGGGAGGTCGAGGCAGGTAGATCTCTTGAGCCCAAGAGTTGGAGACCAGCCTGGGCAACATGGCAAAACCCTGACTCTAATAAAAATACAAAAAATTAGCCAGGCATGGTGGCACATGCCTACAGTATCAACTACTCAGGAGGCTGAGGTGGGAGGATTGCTTGAGCCTGGGAAGTTGAGGCCACAGTGAGCAGTGATCACACCACTGCACCCCAGCCTGGGTGACAGGAGTGAGACCCTGTCTCAAAATAAAACGAAACAAAAAAAAATGCAAAGAAGAGTCAACTATCTAACTGCAATTAAAGTAGATGAATGAATGGTTGGCTAGATGAATAAATAATTGATTAATTGACTAAGATCCAAATATTTGTCAATATGTTCATGGTTAAGTAAGTTATAATCTATCAACATGCAACTACCCATCCAATGCAACCATCAAAAAGAATATCCAAGATATTAAATAATGCAACAAAAAGTCCCAACAAATATAAAATGCTTAACTATTTTTTTAAGTGCTAGGGTGAAGAATGAAAAGATCGAAAACTCTGAGCTAGATTTGTATAGTGTCTACCAACTGAGAGAAGCTATGTCCCGGGGAATCTAGGAAGCCTCTACATATGCAATTCCCCCGAGGGAGGATGGCCCCAACTATCCCCAGTGCCTGTTACCTCCGGCTCAGCCTCAGGAACGAGCTGATGAAGCTCAGTCTGCACGAGTGGCCTCTCGTTAGGACAAGAATTGCCAGGCAGGAGAGGAGCATCCTCCAAGTCCTCAGGCCCCTCCGCTGTTACAGGGCTCACCCCAGTCTCCATGACAACACACAACTGGCTCAGTCTGCTTCTCAGCAAGGACTGCAAAGGAAACAGAGAAGGGGCTCAGGAGTGCCTAAATCAAGTGGTATCTGCGAGGCTGAGTCTCTCCCCAGGCTGCAGACAGAGCAGAGGATGAGGTCTCAGACTCAGACGATGACCTCAGAAAAAGCTGGTCACATGGGTGGTATTACATAATTCCCTACAGATGGTCATTAATAGTTTCTAAATATTTTTCCTTTTATGGTCAGGCACAGTGGCTCACACCTGTAATCCCAGCACTTTGGGAGGCCGAGGCGGGCGGATCACTTGAGGCTAGGAGTTCAAGACCAGCCTGGCCAACATTGTGAAACGTCGTGTCCACTAAAAATACAAAAATTAGCTGGGCGTGGTGGCGCATGCCTGTAGACCCAGCTACTCGGAAGGCTAAGGCATGAGAATTGCTTGAACCTGGGAGGCAGAGGTTGCAGTGAACCAAGATGGTGCCATTGTACTCCAGCCTGGGTGACAGAGCAAGACTCTGCCTCAAAACAAACAAATAAACAAATGTCTTTCCTTTCATGCCCTCACTTGCTCAAAACAGCCTGGTATGTGGGTATCTTTATCCATATGTTGCAAATGAATAAACTGAGACTCAAAGGCCCTGCCTGAGGCCACATAGGAACTAATGAGCCAGATTCAGGGCTAAGTTACAACTCTGACTTCAAGACCCACTGCAGCCGGGGCTCAGAAAAGGCTGATCCTAGAGAAGGAGTCCAGGCTTCAGTGACAGGAGGCCTGGCCTCCAAACCTGGGTATCACCAGCCAGCTCCATGACCACAGGCCAGTAATAGGTCATCCTGGAGACCGTTTCCTCCTCTGCAGAAGCAGAGCAAGATCCCTCTGGTTTTCTTAATAAATGGTAGAAAGGCACTATGAACAAGTAAAAGTTGCCTCAATGCATGATACTTTGGGATCCACCAAAATTTATTATTAGTATTATAATTATAAAGAAATAAATGGCTGGGCGCGGTAGCTCACACCTGTAATCCCAGCACTTTGGGAGGCCAAGGCAGATGGATTACCCGAGGTCAATTCAAGACCAGCCTGGCCAACATGGTGAAACCCCGTCTCTACTAAAAATACAAGAAATTAGCCAGGTGTGATGGCAGGCACCTGTAATTCCAGCTACTCAGGAGGCTGAGGCAGGAGAATCGCTTGAACCCAGGGGACGAAGGTTGCAGCGAGCCGAGATCGTTCTACTGCACTCCAGCCTGGGCAACTGAGTGAAACCCTGTCTCAGAAACGAAAAAAAAAAAAAAAGAAAAGAAAAGAAATATATGCTCACCATAGGAAATGTGGAAGAAGCAATGAGTTAAAAAGAAGCAGAAAAGCAGCCATAATTCCCTAGGCAAAAACAAGCACTGATTGCTTGTAGGTATTCTTCCAAGTAACTTTTTCTTAGACATTTTCCCACCCTTAAGATAATGCAATCGATACAACTTGGCCTCCTGGCTTTTGCTTTGTTTTGCTTTTTCACTGAAGATATCTTACCTCTTGGCTAGTCTTCATTTCTTGAACATGATCAGACAAAAACTGCACACAGTTCTCCAGGTCGAAGTAGACAAACCAAAGCTGTAGGGAGAAGCAGCAGTGACCACTGTGGCTCAAAGCCAGCCCAACCCTGAATTCCCCCTCCCTGAGACAGTCCTATTTAGCCTGCTGTCTGGCAGGAACGTGCCATTTGGCTCCCTCCCAGAGTTCCACACCACGACCACATCTCACTTGTATGGCTTTGTGTGCAGGTTTAGAAAAGGTCAAACCCTAGGCCAGATGCAGTGGCTCACACCTGTAATCCCAGCACTGTGGGAGGCCGAGGCAGGCAGATCACTTGAGGCCAGGAGTTCAAGACCAGCCTGGCCAACATGGTGAAATCGCTATCTCTACAAAAAATACAAAAAAATAGCTGGTGTGGTGGTGGACGCCTGTAATCCCAGCTACTCAGGAGCCTGAGGCACAAGAATCGCTTGAACCCAGGAGGTGGAGGTTGCAGTAAGCCAAGATTGTACCACTGCACTCCATCCTGGGTGACAGAGCAAGACTCTGTCTCAAGAAAAAGGAAAGGGAAAGGGAAAGGGAAAGAGAAAGGAAAGGAAAGGAGAAAAAGTTAAACCCTGTTTAAAATGGCTGTGGCTCCATTTCCCACAAGCTGCTGAGCATCCCAGACAGACTCTGAACCCTCCTGGACATCACCTGTCCACCTGAGGCCACCTTCATCCTCAATGGGCAGGGCGTGAACATGCAAATGAGTGAAACCCTTCAGAGCTGACACCTGCAGCCCACAACCAGGTCTGAGGAAGTCAACCTGGGTGCTTGTGGGGAGAGAAGCAGGGTGAGAAGTCCGTACCCCATCTGTGCCTCCCCTTCCACCCCAGGGGCCAGCCAGGCTAAACTTAACCAGGCCGAAATCCTCCACGTTCATGTTACAACATCCTGTCAAGACCACAGCTGCTGCACATCCTAATTGAAATTCTCAGAGAAATTGGTGGCCCTTGTCCCAAACTCCCATCCACTGGCCACCTTCTCTGGTTCCCACACCTCCTTCCTCTTAATGACTGACCCATGAGGCCCAAAGTCACAGCCTTCTTGCCAACTACTCTCCCAATGTCTTACCCACAAGGGAGGATTTCTCAAATGATTCCTTTAAAGCTTTTTACTATGAAAATTTCCAAGCATATACGGAAGTAGATGACAGCAACCCATCCTCCTGCTGCAACTGTTAGGTCACCTCATGACCACTCTTGTTTCATCTTCATCCTCACTTGGTACCCATCCCCAACACCCCCACCTCCACTGCACCCCCCAGGGAATCTGAAGGACAGAAGGACATCCCAGATAGTGTATCACCTTATCCCAAGACACTATTTTGAAACCGAAAGAATCCAGTTGTCCAAAAAGATGTGTCCATTTTTTTTTTTTTTTTTTTTTTTTGAGACAGGGTCTCACTCTGGCACCCAGGCTGGAGTGTGGAGTGTAGTGGCACGATCTCGGCTCACTGCAACCTCCACCTCCTGGGTTCAAGTGATTCTCCTGCCTCAGCCTCCAAAGTAGCTGGGACTACAGGTGCATGCTGCCATGCCCTGCTAATTATTTTGTATTTTTAGTAGAGACAGGGTTTCACCATGTTGCCCAGGCTGGTTTCAAACTCCTGAGTTCAGGCAATCCACCCGCCTCAGCCTCCCAAAGTGCTGGGATTACAGACGTGAGCCACCACGCCCAGCCCATTCTTTAGTCATCTATCCATCCACGCATTCATCTAACACATGCCAAGTCACTCTGCATACCAATGGATAAAGGAGATTGGAAGATAAACGAGGCTAAAAAGGACCCCCACATTCCAGGAGCTCCCAGTCTACAATGTCACACTTGAACTGCCGAGAATCTTGTGATGCCATCTGCTTCACTCCAATGTTAGGCAAGATCATCTTACATCTACACCATCTCGGGTGTGATAGGCTCCACAAACATAGGGACCTGCATGTGTTCTCTGCTGCAGCCTCAATCCCTGGGACAGTGCCTGGTACATAATAGGCTCTCAATAAACATTCATGGAGTAACTGAGGCAGGTGAGTGAGGAGCCTCTTCCCAGGTCCCCCGTGCATACCTACCCCTGGGCTCCCACCAGGCAAGGGGCAAAGACTGGTGAGAATGCAGATGTGGTGCCGAGGAGGTTTTGCAATTCCACCGGGTAGATCAGGCATGGATGGAAGAACAGGAGAGTTCAGCCAGGATCAGGAGATCTGCCCTAACTGTGTTCCGACCCACCCTGCGACTCCATACTAGTCACTTTGAGATCTCCCCACAACCTTTGGGGCAAAGAGAATGACTAATCCAGGCAGACAAGGCCTTCAGCATCTGACCTGCCTCTCCGGCCTCATCTCTCCCCGCTGTGTCACTCTGGTGTAGCCCCAGCCATGGTCAGCTCCATGCAGCCCTTCAAAGGGACCCTGTGTACCTTGCCTCTCAGCCTTGTCGGGGGCTGTCCCTTTGCTATAAGGCCAGAGAGGCTACTGTGGACTATCTCACTGCATGCCTGTCATCCTCTGCCAGGACAGGGACCTTGTATGGGCCCCTCAATGTCGTCAGTGTCCAACCGAGGGCACAGCACATAGGAGGCTCCGTCTGTCTGCTGAATAAATGCCAGGTGAGCAGCAAGGTTTGGGCGCTATCTGCGCTTCCCTTCCAGCCCTGCCACGTGGAGGTTCCAGGCCACTGGTTACAAAACAGAGAAGGTGTCTTGAGGAAGAAACACCAGGGCAGGGAGGAAGGAAAGGGCTGCCGACAGCCATCTCATTAGCAGACTACTGCAGACACTGTGCAGGTTGGGAGAACATGAGGCCACTGCTCTCCATTAGCCCAACATAAAACTGGGCCATCAGGAAGAGGTCACTATGAGACACAGCACCTGAATCACACTCTGGCATCCTTCCACCGTGTCTGTCACCCCCAGCAGCACCCGATGTCTCAGGAGGGCTCCATTGGCAGCTGCCAGCCTCAGGTCCGTATTGGTGTTGGCCTGTAAGACAAATGCCAGGCCCATCACCAGACCTCCACGCTACTGGGGAGCTCCCGGGCTCTGGGCAGTAGAAACACACCATCCCACCCCTAGATGCCAAGGGACAATCCCCACCCTCAGGACTGTCCCATTTCCTCCCCTATTAAATGGGCTGGGGTGGAGGCAGGTGCAGTGACTCATGCCTGTGATCCCAGTGCTTTGAGAGACTAAGGCAGGAGAATTTCTTGAAGCCAGGGGTTTGAGGCCAGCCTGGACAATGTAGCGAGATGCCGTCTCTATAAAAAATTGTTTAAAAATTAACTAGGTGGGGCCAGGCGCAGTGGTTCACGCCTGTAATCCCAGCACTTTGGGAGGCCGAGGCAGGCGGATCACAAGGTCAGCAGTTCGAGACCAGCCTGGCCAACATGGTGAAACCCCGTCTCTACTAATAATACAAAAATGAGCTGGGCGTGGTGATGCACGCCTGAAGTCCCAGCTATTCGGGAGGCTGAGGCAGCAGAATTGCTTGAACCCAGGAGGCGGAGGTACAGTGCGCAGAGGTCATGCCACTGCACTCCAGCCTGGGCAACAGAGCGAGACTCCATCTCAAAAAAAAAAAAAAAAAATTTGCTAGGTGCGATAGCGTCCACCTGTAGTCCCAATTACTTGGGAGAGTGAGGCGAGAGGATCACTTGAGCCCAGGAGTGTGAGGTTATAGTAAGCTATGATTGTGCCACTGCACTCCAGCGTAGGTGACAGAGTGAGACTCTATCTCTTAAAAATAAGGAAAGAAAAATAAAATGAGATAGGGGATAGTTGGAACAGTAAATCCAATAGTGTCAGACGGCCCTGGCATAAAGCTCAGCTCTGCTGCTTCCTGGCTATATGACCCTGGACAAGGCATGTCCCTTCCCTGAACCTTATTTTCTTCAGTTGTAGAATAAAAGAATGTCTCAGCCTCCTAGGAACGGAGTGAGACTTCACTGAGATTGTGTGTGATGTACTTAACCTAGGGCCTGGGACTCTGTCAAGGTGCATAAGACATTTGCGGAAGATGGGAGATGAGATGGGTTTGATCTGTTTGAGCTGACACATTAAATCTGTTGTGTAAGTGAAGCACTCGCTCCATCTAGAAAGCACCTACTTTAAAGTATCTAACACAGCGCCTGGTCCTCAGGAGGGTCTCTGGGAATCAGCTTCCTGCTCTCCCACCCAAACCAACGGATGCCACACGTTCAGCTGGAAAAGTGGATGCTAAACAGGTGCGGGAGAAGAGAAGGGACAAGGGGACCTCAAATGCTGGTTTGGGGAAGTGAGCACAAGAGGACTTTCAGACGCAGTTAGAAGAGAGCCTGATCAAGAATAATAGTTCTCAAAAGGGGCAGCACCCTGTAAGGGAGATTCTGGAAATGCAAGAAGGACGCTTTGGTTGTCACAGGGATTGGATGGACAATGCCGGCAGTTAGTGGAGGAGGGCCAGGCGTACCAAACCCATGCCTTCCACTGAAAGACATGTCCTATTAGAAACCATTCTGCACGTTCAAGACTGTCCCCTGGGCTGCCTGAACTCCAAATGTCCCACTGAGCATACGTACAGATAAAAAAAATCTACTTAGAATTATCTGGTCAGCAAACCCAACCCCAGTTTACATTTATACCTAAAGTGATTTTTTTTGGGGGGGAAACCTAGTCTCGCTCTGTCACCCAGGTTGGAGTGCAGTGGTACGATCACAGCTCCTCGACCTCCTGGGCTCAGATCTTCCTGCCTCAGCCTCCCAAGCAGCTGGGACCACGCATGCATGCCACCACACTCAGCTAATTTTTAAATTTTTTGTAGAGATGGGGTCTCACTATGTTGCCCAGGCTGGTCTCAAACTCCTAGGTTCAAGTAATTCTCCCAACTCAGCCTCCCAAAGTGCTGGGATTACAGACATGAGCCACCATGCCCAGCCACTTAAAGCGATTGTTTGCATGAGTTTAATATACACTGAGTTTTCCAGGAATGCCTCTACTATGAAAATTGAGGAATAATTAGATTTTGTTTTGCCTAGATCTGTAGTAAGGAGATTTGGATGTGGATTTGGATTTGATGTGGGTTTCTTCCTTTTAGAAATCCACATCACCAACAGTTCAATTCCTAACTCTCTCTCTCACTGCCCATATAACCTTGGGCAAATTACTAAATATCTCTTGTCTCCATCTTCATACCCCTAAATGGAGATAATAATGCCTTTACCTCAGAGGGGTATAAAAAGCGTGAAATGAGTTAATCCATGTAGAATAATTGAAAGAACTGAACACTTAACACATATCAGCTGATAATATCACAGTGAGGATGACAGTGAATTTAAATCATCGTGTTTTTACTGTGCCATATTAGCCCCAAATAAATATTTGTAGGAACTTGGAACTTCTCATGTGTCCTAGCAATGTGCTATACTCTACAAGGCCGGGACTTGCCTGCCTTTACAAACCTTCCAATCTTTTTATTAATTTAATTTTATTTATTTTTGTTATTTTATTTTATTTTATTTTTTATTTTTCTGAGGCAGGGTCTCGCTCTGTCACCCAGGCTGGAGTACAATGGCGCCATCACAACTCACTGCAGCCTTGAACTCCTAGGCTCAAGCGATCCTCCCGCCTCAGCCTCCTAGGACTATGGGCATGTACCACCACACCCCGCTGATTTCATTTTTTGTAGAGACAGAGTCTCACAATGTTGCCTAGCCTGGTCTCAAACTCCTGGGCCCAAGTGATCCTCCCACCTTAGCCTCCCAAAGTACTGGGATTATAAGTGTGAGCCACAATGCCCGGCCCAAACCTTCCAATCCTGAGGAAGGCTAATAGTACACCAAAGGGAAAACAAGACAGTTATGCAAGACATTGAGGCTCTCAAGGACATCAAGTAACAACACAGGGAGGATGCTAACAGTAAGAGTGACAATGGCCAGGAAGAGGGGATCTGCATAGTCCTGAGTGACAAGGGATCCAGGGAGGAGGAGGTCCTGGAGCTGAGACCCAGAAAAAGACCCGAGAAGGGCTGTGTGGCCATGGACTGACTACTTAACCTTTCTGAACTCCCATTTCCTCACTGGCAAACAGAGTTAATAACAGTTAATACTTACAAAGCATTTACTTTACACCAGGTACTATTATAAACACTTTGTGTGTCTAAGTCATTTAATTCTCACAATAATCCTATGAGGGAGCTAAAATTATTATCTCATTTTCTAGATGAGGAAACTGAGGCCCTGATAGATTAAATAATTCACCCCAAGTTGCAGAGCTAGCAAATGATGGAGGTATCCTGCCTCCTTATAAGGTTGTTGTTGAGCACAGACGTGAAGCCCCAAGCATACAGCACACAATAGGTGCTCATGAAATGATGGACATTATTAGGAAGAAAAGAAGGAGTCTCCTAAATGGGCAGTGATGATGGCATTGCCAGGATGCACCTGGGACTCCATGCTGCACATAAGCCTTGCTCATTTTCTAGGATGTGTGCCTGGCACAGAGTAAAACCCTGTCTTGGATGGATGGATGGATGGATGGATGGATGGATGGATGATGCATGGATGGATGGATGGATGGATGGATAGATGCATGGATGGGTGGATAGATAGGTAGATGCATGGATGGATGGATGGATAGATAGATGGATGCATGGATGGATGGATGGATGGATGGATAGATAGATAGATGCATGGATGCATGGATGGATGGATGGATGGATGGATGGATGGATGGATGGATGGATGGATGGACAGATAGATAGATAGATGCATGGATGGATGGACAGATAGATACATGGATGGATGGATGGATGGATGGATGGATGGATGGATGGAGATAGAGAGAGAGAGAGAGAGAAAGAGAGAGAAACAGACAGACAGACGGATGGAAGGATATATATATATATATATAGTTGGGACAGTAAATTCAATAGCGTTAGTCCTGGACCAAAGCCCAGCTCTGCTGTTTCCTGGCTGTGTGGCCGTGGACAAGGTCCTGGTACTATCAAGGGCTTCATAAATACCGGCTGAATAAAAGGAGGAAAGAAGAGACAGAGGCAGAGAGCCAAAGCAGGCATTCCCTCCACCATGTGAATTACATCCGCATCCTCGAAGCACCTGTCAGGTGCCAATCTTTTTTGCTTGCTCCTGCTAAATAAAACAAAGCACTTTGCTTCTTCCCCTCCCCAAGACAAAGTTCTTGCTGCAGGAGTAGCCAGCTCTATTTATTTTTTATAGGTCAAACACAAGGGCCATGAAAGTTTCAACAGACCCCAAGGGCAGCATTACTTTATCAGTCTCATGGCAAAGCCCAACAAAGATCCTTTCAGAATGAGTGCACCATAAAGTTCCCATGTGTCTCCGTGAACACACGCACTAAGTGGAATTCACACCCCAAATGCTGATTTACATTTCCCAACATCCTGCCCTCCCTTTCTGAGTCAGGCAAGATCAGAGTCCAGCACTGTGCCAGGGATCAGGGTTCGGAGGAACAGGAACTTCCCAAGTAGGTGGAAAGACAACATAGGTGCAGTAGCAAAGAAATGGTCCCCAAAGATGTCTAAATCCTATTCCCCAGAACCGGTGCGAATGTTGCTACACAGCAAAGGGGAGTTAAAGCCGCTGACGAACTGTATGTTGTTAATCAGCTGACCTTAAAATTAGGAGATTATCTGAGATTACCCAGCTGGCCCAGTGTAATCACAAGGGTCCTTAAAAGTAGAAGAGGGAGGCAAAAGAGCCAGAGAAGGAGATGCAAAAAAGACTAGATCTGCCATTGCTGGCTTTGAAGATGAAGAAAGGGATCACCAGCCAACGAATGCAGAGGACCACTAGAAGCTAAACAAGCAAGAAAACAGATTCTCCTCCAGAGCCTTCAGAAGGAAGCAGCCCTGCCTGTACCTAGATTTTAGCCCAGTGAGACCTATGTCAAATATCTAACCTACAGAACTGGAAGATAATAAACTGTTGTTGTTTTAATTCACTAAGTTCATGATAATTTGTTACAGCAGCTATAGAAAACCAACAGTTTTGGGCCGGGCGCGGTGGCTCATGCCTGTAATCCCAACACTTTGGGAGGCTGAGGCAGGCAGATCACCTAAAGAGGTTTGGGAGCTCGAGACCAACCTCTGACCAACAGTGGAGAAACGCCATCTTTACTAAAATAATAAAATAGCTGGGTGTGGTTGGCACGCTGGCCTGTAAATCCCAGCTACTCCGGGACTTGAGGCAGGAGAAATCACTTGAATCCAGGAGGCAGAGGTTGCGGTGAGCCAAGATTGCGCCACTGCACTCTCAGCCTGGGCAACAAGAGCAAAACTCTGTCGAAACAAAGAGAGAAAGAGAGAAGAAAGAAAGGAAGAAAGGAAAGAAAGAAGGAGAGAAAGAAAGAAAGAAGAGAAAGAAAAGAAAGAAAGAAGAAAGAAAGAAAGAAAGAAAGAAGAAAGAAAGAAAGAAAAAGAAAGAAAGGAAAGAAAGGAAGGAAGGAAGGAAGGAAGGAAGGAAGGAGGAAGGAAGGAGAGGACAGGGGAGAGAGAAGAACAGAGAAGAAACGAGAAAGAAAGAAAGAAAGAAAGAAAAGAAAGAAAAGAAAGAAAGAAAGAAAGGAAGGAAGGAAGGAATGAAGGAAGGAAGGAAGGAAGAAGGAGGAAGGAGGGAAGAGGGAGGGAGGGAGGGATGGAGGGGGAAGAGAAGAGAAGAGAAGAGAAGAAAAGAAAGGAAAGAAAGAAAACCAACAGTTTTCTCTAGTGTAGTGACTAAGAACATGGCTTGGAATCTGAGGCCCTAGCCTTGATTTCCAACTCTGGCATTTATTAGAAGCATGGCCGGGGCTACTCTTTGAGCCTGAATCTAGGGTTCCTCAACTGCAAAAGAAGTGTAACAGCGTCTACCCAGATTTAATGTCAAGGGATTTAATGAGTTAATGTGTTAAGCATTTAACAGAGGACCTACTACATATGATGTGCTCACTACATATCAAAAGACAGACACTGAAGAGACAGAATACAATTAAAACCATACATCAAGCTGGGAAGTATCCACCTCCTTTCTAAACATGATCAGGAACCAGAGGGCTCAGGGTTTGAACCCTGGCTCTGTCACTAACAGTGGGATCCAGGACAAGTTACCTAACTCTCAGACCACCCACCTTGCCTCAAAGGTCATTGCTGGGATTAGAGACATGACTGTCAATAGAGCACCAGGTCGGCATCTGCCCGTCACAGGAGGAAATAACATAAATTACCTCCCCCCAGAGGTCAACTTCAGGCACCTTGTGCTGCAGGGTGGGTTCAGTAACCCTCCCTTGTTCACAGGGCCATTGTGAGCACCCAGCGGGAGGAAGTGCATGAAAGGGCTCAGTTAACTAAAGTACTGTCAGGATATGGGCTATTAGTGCCCTCCTCCCACATTCTCAAAACACAGCTTGCTTCCAGAAAAACAATCCACAGGGATTAGACAGAAAAAGCAGAGAGGACAATCACATATACGATTTGATTTCTTTTAGTCACTGGGCTTATGGGCTAGTGTGAATTTTCATGGCCAGGGAAATTCTTTGAGGGAGGCAAAAGAGAAAAATCTGATTCTCACGCCTGCACCGCCCTTCTGGAGGGAGCATGGCAGGGATCTCCAGACATCTCACCTTCTTCTGCTGTCTCTCAAAGACCAGCACAAGAGTCAGGGTCAGGCTCACCGCGGCCAGGGTCACGAGCAGCATGCCAGCCCAGTGGTTCCCTAAGGCAAACATCTGACTGGTAGAGTAGATATTAGCCCACACCACCACGTAGAAAACCTGCAAGATGCCAGACAGAGATCATGGTCAGGAACTTCAGTCCTCACACAAAGCAGCTCCATTCAAACGGACACCCTTCAGACACTACTGACACCCTCCTTGGATTCAGACAGCTCACAGCACCAGTAAGAGAGTGATACAGACATCTAGGTCTGTGAGAATGAGCTCATGTTCCTTGTTCATAAGCAAAAAATAGACAAAAAGGGTTAGCAGCTACCCCTAATCCTTGTTTACCTTAATTTTAAATAAAACAGAAAAACACAGGTGTATCCAAAGTGAGACAAATATCAGTTCAAAGACCACAATGTGCCTTCAAGTACTACATGGCTTTGGACAATGTATAACTCCTCTAAGTCTCAGTTGCCTCATCGGTAAAATGGGGATAATAACACCTATTTCACAGCATTGTAATAAGGGTTAACAAGGTCACATAAGTAACAGCCCAGCACTCACCAGGTAATGAATCAATGCTGGTTCCCACCCTTTTCCCTTCTCCCTGGAAATGGGACCTGGGAGTCAGGTGTGCTATCTGACCATTTATACATACAAAACAGCAGCAAATCACAGTGCTTCCGAGCACAGACACTGAAACCAGACTACCTGGATTTAAATTCTGGCTCTGTCATTTATGTATGTCAGTGTTTTTATGTATCAATATGAAGATGTGTATTTTTTACATTATATATACAGATGTGTATACACACACATACATAGAGCTGAAATAACCCATCTGTTGAACAGATGGGGAAACCAAGTTCCGGAGAGGAGGAAAATCTTGGCCAAAGTCAGACATTGAGTCCAGAGCCTGGGTGGATCTGCAGACTTCCAATCCCAAGCTCTGCCCACAGTAAACCCTGACTCCCATCCTTTATGCAAGGACCTGGTTACAACTCTCTCCCATAAATTTCCGCTGATCCCAAATCGATGTCCATACGTGCTGCTCGTTTCCAGGCACCTGGGCCAACAGCCCCCAAGCCTCTGACCCACACCAGCAGGCTCCAAGACACGGTGCTGAATTTGGTGGTGCCACAAGCTGTCAGGGCAGGGTCAGTGTGCGGGCCACCTCCCCCTTACCACAGCAAAGGCCAGCCGCATAGGCCTCGAGTTGTAGATGATATATCTTCTCACTTGGGGCTCCAAGAGAGCACTCTCAGCCAGGCTCCTGTACTGGTCGGCCGGGACCTGCTTAGAACCCAGGGAAAGAGATCAATTAGCCACAGGACAGCCAGTTTCCAGTTCATGTGACTATCATGTGGACGGGGGATTAGGCACATTCTGGGCTGTCCCAGAGGCAGAATGAGGAGCTTGGAGCACTGGAAGTCACATGGTGCAGCTCTCAGCTCAGGGAAGAACCGGCATCACGACATCTGGAGAAGGATCCATACAGCCTCAGACTCAGTACCTTGCAGCAGACACAGGGTAGCCTGATAGTTAAGACACAGGCCCCGGAGTCAGACAGCCCTGGGCCCAAACTCTGGCCCTGCCACTCATGTGCTGTGTGACCTGGAGCAAGTAACCCCACTCCTCTGAGCCTCAGTTTTCTACTCTGTAAAATAAGCATAATAAAAGTACCCACTTTGTAGAACTAAGGTACATATTAAATGAGATAATACATGTACTGTGCTGAGCAAAGGGCCAGTCCCTCAGTGAACACTCAATATAGAGTTGCCATTATCAATACTGCAATATCAATATCTATTAATGCCATCCAAAAGACCGAACACTCACATCTTCCTGGCCAAACAAAGGTGTCTATAGAATATAAAGGCCCTGTGACAGTAGACCTAAGAAAACACAACTTAACCATTAAAATTATATTTAGGCTGTGCACAGTGTCTCATGCCTGTAATCCCAACACTTTGGGAGAGCAAGGCGGGCAGACTGCTTGAGCCTAGGAGTTCAAGACCAGCCTGGACAACATAGCAACAGCCTGTCTCTTTTTATAAAAATAAAAAAGAAGGCCAGATACAGTGGCTCACGCCTGTAATCCCAGCACTTTGGGAGGCCAAAGCAGGTGGGTCACGAGGTCAGGAGTTCGAGACCAGCCTGGCCAACATGGTGAAACCCTGTCTCTACTAAAAATACAAAAATTATCTGGGCGTGGTAGCACATCTCTTTTTTTTTTTTTGAGACAAGATAGCGTTTCTCTGTTGCCACCAGGATTGGAGGTGCAGCGGCACAAATATTGCCACTGTATACCTCTGCTTCCCTGGGTCAAGTGGAATCCATCGCCTCCAGCCTCCCAAGTAGCGACTACAATAGCTGTACCACGGCTGGCCTTAAATTTTGGTATTTTTTAAGTAAAAGATGAGGTTTCACCATGTGGGCAAGGGCTGTCCGAAAAACTCCCTGATCTCCAAGTGATCCGC